TTTGAAAAGACCCTGAAGATGGGAGGGATTGGGGGCAGGAGGAGAAGGGGACGACAGAGGATGAGATGGCTGGGTGGCATCACCGACTCAATGGGCATGAGTTTGAGTAAACTCTGGGAGTTGGTGATGTACCGGGAGGCCTGGTGTGCTGTGATTCATGGGGTCGCAAAGAGTCGGACACGACTGAGTGACTGAACTGAACTGAATATATATAGATATATACAATTCAAATTTAAATCAATTACTTGTACCTAAATACTGGTAGTAAGAAATTATGGTAACTTATTTTTAAAAGCTTTAATAGAAAACAGGAGAGTCACACAAATGCCATACATTTTTTTTTTAATTTATGTTTTCTTAAAAACTGTTTTCTGGAAAGAACACTGGGCTCTACAGTACTGAAGCTTGAACTAAAATCCTAGCCTGACCAGTCTTGCTGAGTTACTTACTATAAGCCACTTTATTTTTCTGGGCTAAAAATGCATTATCTCTGAGATGAAGGAGTGGATTAGGTAACTTTTAAGGAACCTTTAAATTCTTAAAATTTTGTGATAATATACATTCCTCTCTGTGGCATAAGTAATAAAGAGTGCCAGGGATGATAAAGTTAATTCCAAGGCAAATGTAATAATATCAATAATGTTATTTCAAAAAACTTTATTTGAAATCTTCAAGATCTGACCCCTGCCTCTTTTTCCAGACTTATGCACTATGTTCCAGCAACACTTTTCTAGTCCTGGTACCTCTCATTCTTTCCTCTGTGTCTGGTGTATCTGTTTGGAAAGTAGTTCTTGTAGCTCTTCAAATAACCAACTCCTTACAGTTGAGGTCTTGATTCAAATGTCACCTCCACCAAAAGACCTTATGTGATCATTCTGCCCAAATTAAAGCCCCTGCCCCCACCATCTCCAACCCTCTTTATCAGAACACCCTGTATATTTGCCCACCAGTAATTATCACTATTTCATTGTTTGGTTGTCCATTTCTCCCAACTAGAACAGAAAAATCTTTGGGACTAGCATTTCGTCTGTCTTGTGTATAATTGGAATGATGCCTGGCATGGAGGAAGCACTCAATAACTGCTTTCTACATGGACAAATGAGTTAGTACATGAATAGATGTACTGTAAGAGCAAACACTTTAACTTTTAGAAGGGTTACATAGAAGCAGAACATAAACCTGATACTGTATGTTGTTTTTCACAATTTGAGAAGATAATAACCTAAACTAAGCCAGAGGAAGTATTAGTTTTCACTTTGGGTTGTGTTTTTCTACGGAAGGTCAATAGAGTTATATGCTGATCAATACCAAGATCATGTTTTAACTGACTAAGTGAAAAGGCTTAAATTACTTCGCTTTTAATATTTGGAAACAAGCAAGTATCAAAATAGTTTTATTGATTTCCAAAGAATTGAAAATCACAAGGCCTAATAATAAAGTCATGAAATAGCTCAATAAAAATTTAATTACTGGTGAAAAGTTACATTAAGAATGAATCATAGAAGTTTAAAGAAACCTTTTTTTAAAAAAAACAACACAATTCTTTAACTGAATCTGATGCCATAAAGTCCAAGATGCAGACAATTTTGAAGTTAACTCTCAATTTCCCACAGTAGACTTCGGAGTTGTAGCAGAGAGGATACAACTTTTGAACTTCATAAACCCTGTATCTGGCACCAGTAACTAAGGTTTTGAACAATTCTTTTAATTTCTCTGGGCATAAATTTTTAATTTGTAAGACATGGTAATACATGTTTTGCATTATTACTAATACTTATTTTGAAAATTCATGATACTCTAAAGCACTAAACATGGGATTCAGCACACATGAGATAATAAACAACAACTCAGCTGGACAATGAAAATGTACTGGCAGACTATGGAGAACAGTGTGGAGATTGCTTAAAAAACTGGAAATAGAACTCCCATAGAACCCAGCAATCCCACTGCTGGGCATACACACCGAAGAAATCAGAATTGAAAGAGACACGTGTACCCCAATGTTCACCACAGCAATAGCCAGGTGACATAGCAGGACATGGAAGCAACCTAGATGTCCATTGGCAGACCAATGGATAAGAAAGCTGTGGTACATATACACAATGGAATATTACTCAGCTATTAAAAGAATATATTTGAATCAGTTCTAATGAGGTGGATGAAACTGGAGCCTATTATACAGAGTGAAGTAAGTCAGAAAGAAAAACACCAATACAGTATATTAACACATATATATGGAATTTAGAAAGATGGTAACGATGACCCTACATGTGAGACAGAAAAAGAGACACAGATGTAAAGAACAGACTTTTGGACTCTGTGGGAGAAGGCGAGGGTAGGATGATTTGAGAGAATAGCATTGAAACATGTATATTACCTTATGTGAAATAGATCACCAGCCCAGGTTGGATGCATGAGACAGGGTGCTCAGGGCTGGTGCACTGGGAAGACCCAGAGGGATGGGATGGGGAAGGAGGTGGGAGGGGGGTTCAGGATGGGGAACACATGTACACCCATGGCTGATTCATGTCAATGTATGGTAAAAACCACCATAATACTGTAATTTATGTAATTAGCCTCCAATTAAAATAAATAAATTAAAAAAAAAAGAAAATGCACCAGTAGAGTGAGGCTACGGTTCTCAGGAGTACTGTGTGAGAGGGGAGAGAGGGCAGAACTACCTTCACAAGCCCATCTACTTCTTGAGAAGCTGGATATGATCACTTCCTTTGTAAAACATGAAATCTGTATGGTTGAAAACTGACTTAAATATTTTGAAGGTAGGCCACTTTTCCCCTAGAAAGAAAATGGCAACCAGCTCTAGGAGGTAAATCTTCTCACTATATCTTTTAGAAAAGAATCTGTATTCATAATGAACATTAACACAAAATTATATTCTTCTATGCTATGTTTTGGCCATGCCAAGCAGTTTGCAGGATCTGTTTCCCAACCAGGGGTCAAACCAG